AATAAAAATTTTATGGAATAAAGCGAAGAAGGAAATATAATAAAAAACAATTCGAATAATATGTGGAATAGTATAGCAAATAATTTAATGTAAGAATGTAAAAGGACAAATATGATACCTTCAGTTGAAAATTTTTCATAAAGATTAAATTTATTTAGGAGAAAAATAGAAAAACCAGATGCAATAGAATTAATTTTATAAAATAAAGATTAACTTTTAAAATAAATTAGTAAAGAAGAAGAACGGAAGGCTAAAATTTAAAATAAAATACACGAAACAATAGAGGCTAAATTAAGAAAATAATAAGGAGATGTTAAATATTTTTCTTAATTGAAAAAAAACTAATTTGATTCTAGAATGAAAAAAGAAGAGGCTAAAGTTAGGTAAACAGAAAATATTATTAGTAATAAAATCAATAACAATAATTAGTAACAATAACAATAACAATAACAATAACAATAATAATAATAATAATAATAATAATAATAATTATAATAATAATAAAAAGATAAATTAGATTAAAAATAAAAATAATTAAAAATAAAGAGATTCAGTAAGTGTAGAATAAAATTTATAAGCAATTTATTTAAATGAAAAAAAAAATTCCTAAGTATGTTTTTCTTTACCTCACGGAGAAATTTAATAACATCTAAATTTACAATAATAAGCCAATAACAATAATAAGAAATAAAACCCAATAATTAAAAACAATGAAAAATTTATTTAAAATAGTTTAAGTAAATAACAAATACAAAACAAGACATTTAAAGCGCGTCCTGTTTTAGCTGCATTCGAATTTAAGAAATAAGAATTAAAAAAAAGCTAATAAAGTGAAACTGAAATCGATATTCCTTTAGACATAGAATTTAAGACAGCAAAAGGGGAACAGCTTTATAAAGAAGTTAAAAAAATGAATGATGAGGAAGCTATTAAAAGACATATTATTAAAACTCTTATTTAAGTAAGATAATAGGCTGATGATGAATTTAAATAAAAGCCTTCCCTTTTAAGTTAAGGACAGAAATACTATTCGGAAGAAAGCAAGGAATTCTAACTTTTATCACCTAATTTTTTAGCCAAAAAAAAAATGCAGGAAATGAAAGATTAAGGAATTATTAATGAAAATTATTTCGAATATAGAGCTAATTTGGAAGAAGGAAATATTTATCTTTTAACCAAAGTCAACAAAATTTTGAAAGGAAATATACTTAAAAAATGGAAAAGTATTTAAGATTCTAAGTTTTGAATATTTGTTAACTATATATATATATATATATATATATATATTTTATTGTTTATTATTAAAAATATGTTTTTTTATTATTTTTTAATACATAATAGTAAGTAAAGTATTTATTAGTTATAAATATATATATATATTAGTATGGAAAATATATTATTTATAAACAAATAAATACTATTTAATATTTTTCTTTTATCAAAATAATAATTTTTTTGTCCTTTTTTCAATTAAATACGCTAAATAACTTCTTAATAGTAATCTAATAATGAAAATTGATTAAATTAATTGCCAAATATCATAAATTTAACAATTATAACACCTGATTATATAAAATAAATCACTATTTTGGCCAAATGAATAAATAATTTAAGAACAAAAATTCACAATAATCTTTAGATAAAAACAAAAAAAACAAAATATTTTTGATATCAATTCCCTATTTATAAAAAAATATATAATATTTTTTACCTTTAGAAAAGAATTTTTACATTATTAATAACCATAAATATAATAGGATAATATAAAATTATATTTAATATAAAAATAATATATATCTGATAGTTTTTATATATTAGTATATGTCCTGTATATAATTGTAAAAAAAAAAATATGATATAAATAGATTATTAGATTTCAGAACTTTAGACAATACTTTTTCAAAAAATGTATAAATTTAATATTTTAAATAAAAATTTAAAAGGGTGGATTAAATAAATCTTAAGAAAAAATTTTATTTTGATTTAAATATTTTAAAAGTATTTTAAATAATAAAAAAAAAAGAAAAATATATCCTAAATATGAATTAAAATATATAATAATTAAAATAAAAACTATATATATATATATATATATATATATATATATATATATATATAAATTTATATATTAATTTTTATTTTTATTTTTTACAAAATTAAAATAAAGATTATATATTTAATTATAATTATGAAATATCAATAACTGTACATATGATTGTTTAATATAATTAATAAGCTTTTAATATATATTTTAAAAATCTCACAATTTATATATTGTATTTTAAATATATAAAAAAATTATATTATTTCTTAAAAAATAAATAAAAATTAAAAATTATTTATTATCTATTCGTTAAAATAATTAAATTTTTAATTAATTTTTCTATATTCAATATATAATTTTATTAAAAAAATGTCTCATATTCATTATTATTCAATAGATTTTTCAACTTCTCAAAGTGCAGCAAGCTAGAAATTTTTTACTGCTTAAAATAAATCTTTTTTAATAAAAAGTTAATGCGGTAGTCCTAAATCTCATGAAAGTCCTTAAAAGAAGTTACTAATATAAAATGGATAAAAAATTTAGTAATAAGTAATATAAGGTAAAACAAAAATAATTCTATTTTTGTTAAAATAATAAAATTAGGATATTAACATATTATGGTACCTACTGCGATTCTTTAAAATTAATATAAATTATATAATAATGATTCTCTTTAAGATGATACCTTACAAAACGAACTAGATTAATATAAATAGAAATGTTAATAATAAGTATATTTATTAAATTCAATAATTAATTTATGTATTAAAAAAAAGGTTATCTTAATTGATTTATATAAAACAAAGTAGTTAAACTTTGATCAATAAAATACTCAAATTTAAAAATATATAAATGAGAATTCGACTCTTAAAAAAATGCTTTAGGAACAATAAATGTAAATTTAAATATTTAAAAATAAAATAGATTAATTATAATTGGATGAAATGAAAGAAAATGAATACAAAAATAATAATTTTGAATAAAAGACTATATAATTAAACGAATAACTCGAAGAAAAGCGAAACACAATTGAAAATTTAGAAGACTAAATAAAACAACTTAAAAATTAAATAAACGACAATGTATTTTTTTATATATATATTTTCATCCTAAAAATAAATATAATAAAATGCAATATATATATTTATATATATATATATATATATATATATATATATATATATATATATATTTATATAGTAATAATAATCAGATATGTAAAATTCTTAAATAAAACAACTATAAAGCGAAAATAAAAAAAATCTAGAAAAATTCGAAATCGAAAAATTAAAACTTTAAAACGAAATTTAAGAAATTTATTAATAAAAAAGCCAAAAACTCCAAAATGAAAATAACAAATTAAAACTAGAACTTGAAAATTGTCAAAAATAGCTTTTTTAAAAGCAAACAAATTTCAATTCTTAACTAGAAAACTTTCAATAAGAAGTGCAATCTTAATTTTAGAAATTTAAAATACAAAATGAATAATTATCATAATAAAATCAAAACTTAATATAATAAAATTAATAACAAAAATCATAAAATTAATTAAATATAGACGATTTATTAAACTAAATACATAAACTTAAATAAAGCTTATAGTATGTCATTTCAGAAAACGAAAAGCTGATTGAAGCAAATAATATTTAGAATTAAGATTTAGAAGATTTAAGGTATAAATATTCCTAAATGATAGAAAAAGAAAAAGAAAACAATAAAACATTATCCCGAATAGTACTTTTAAGTATAGAAAACGAATAAATAAGAAAGCAATTAAATGAAAATATAAAATGATAGAATTCTATTTTTTGTTATAAAGATTAAATTAAAGATATATGTATTTTTAAAGATTTTTTATAAATTATTTATCAATATATATATATATATATATATTTATTTAAATTAAAATAAAAAACATTAAAAATTAGATATAAATATTTTTTTGTATATATAAATATAAAAAAGTAAAAAAATACATGAAATTAATACGATAATTTTCTAAACTATCCAAAAAGGACAATATAAATGTAGAATTTCCATTTTAGGAAAGATTTGTAATTGAAAAAAAGTATTTATTACCTATTCCAGTAAAAAAATGCTTAAGTCCATATTTAGCATTTAACCACTCTATATTAAGTGTTTTAAAAGATAATCTAGAAGGGGGTAGAACATCCTTAATAATAAAAAAATTGAGTAATGTATGGTTAGATTGTGATATAATGTTAGACAATAAAGTAGAGGCAATTAAATAGCATTATTTATTATATGATTCATATATGAGAGAATATATTAATTATTTATAAAAATATACACCATATAAATATCCTTTAAAACCTTACTAAAATTTCTAAAAACTAAATTTTAATAAAGTCAGTAAAGAATTAAATACACATGATTTCGGAATTATAATATTACATATAACTAATAATTGGTATAAATTAACAAAAAAAGAATAAAAATATTACTATGATATATATGAGAGCTAAAAACAAGAAGTTCTGAAAAAAGTATAAATGTTTAATGATATTTATCAAATTCCGATTTTAAAGAAGAATGATTTTGTGTTAAAAAAAGGGAAAAAACTAGAAATTTAAGAAAAACTTATTAAAAAAGTAGAAGATTTCAAAAATTATTTTGATTTATCAAATTAAGATTACTAAGACATATTAAAATACTATAAAAGATTGAAAAACTAATGAGATATTATATGTATATATATATATATATATATATATATATATATATATATATATATATATATATATATATTTTTATATATATTTTTATATATATTTTTATATATATTTATATTAATTCTTAATATTTAACTTTAATTCGTGTTTATGAGAAAAAAAAATTCTAAATTTTTTACAATAAAGATTATAAAAAATATACAGAATTAATAAAAATTAATATTATAAAAAATAAAAAATAAAATAATATATATTTTTTTTTTTCATGCTACAGTATATTAGCCATTTTAAATTTTTATTTATTCCTTCGCATAACTCATAGCTTCTTTTTCATATAATTTCCAAGTTTTAGTATCACAAAAATTCTATAAGATTTAATATCTGTTTTTATCTTTAGTTTCTTTCATTAAAAAATATAAAATAACAAAGCAAATGCTCGAAACACCACCAAAAACAATAAAACTTCCAAATAATTTAATATCGGCTTTCATAAAAGGGAATACAAATCCAATAAACATAGCTAAAGCCCATCTAATAAAAGTAGATATAGATATACCGGTCACATCTAAAATTTCAGCATTATAAACCCATGTAACAGCTCCTAGACTTAATTACCATCCTTATAAATACTATTAAAAGTATATAATATATTAAAAATATATAATAGATTTAAATATATAAATAAATTTACAATGAAAATAAGTACAATTCCCAAAATTTGTACTGCAACAGATTTTTCGGAAACTTATAAAATACTTAATATATACATTGTTAACTATACTACAAATATTCCTGAAAGCATAAAAGTTCTTCTTCCGATTTTTTAAATAATTTTAATTCCTATTGTAGTAATTAAAGTATTATTTAAACCTAAGAAAATAGTACAAATTCTTGCTGTCATTTCACTTTGTGTGACTTCTTTAAATATTTCGTTCGAATAGAAAAGAATGGCATTAACACCACTTAATTACGTACAAAATTAAATAAGACATCCGATAAAAAATCTTCTTTTATAAGAATATTTATTTCCAAGTTAATACAATTTTTCACGGAAAAACTCTTCTTCACTTTTTAGTTTAAAATCATTTTGATTCGATGCTAGTTATAATTAAACATCCTAATTTGTCTATAAAGATCCTAAAACGCCTTACACTGATTTCATTGCTGAGTTTATTTCATTATTATTATTATTATTATTAGTATTACTATTATGATTTTGGCTTGAACCACATAAATTTTATTTACTTTTTACTTCTTTCTTTTCATTTTATTAAGTATTTACTTTTTCCTCTAATTCTTAAAATACTTCCTTCCATTCATCATTTTCGTAAATCTATTAAAGATATCCTTTAACTTCTTCATATCTGTGTTGTTTCATCATAAATGTAGGAGTCTCAAGTTTATAAATAAAACTTAAAATCGTTAAACGAATTAAACATGTAATAATTGGTATTCCAAGTAATATTCTCCAATATACTTAGTTTGTATAATTTATTTCTTTTAGTATTTCAGGTAAAGGGACTAATAAAGCTGCTAAATAACTACAAAAAGTACCAAAAGTTAGAGCCACCTAGTTTATTCCTCCCGCTTTTCCACTTATTTCTATAGGCGAAAAATCTTTGATATAAACAGGAACAATTGCAGTATTGATACCTATATTTTATTATTATAAAAAAAAAAAAATATATATATATATATTTTTAATTTTATTAATTTAATTTAAATAAATTTAAATTTAAATTTTAAATAATAAAAAATGTAAATTAAAGTAAAAAAATCATATTTAATAAGTTATTTACCAACCACAAATCCACAAATAATCCTACCAATTAATAGATTAGGAACAGTAGTATCAGAAATAAGAATAATAGTGCCAATAATACCTAGTATATCAAAAACAATCATAGATTTTCTAATCCCATTTAAATATGTTATAATTTGTTTACTTATAAGACATCCTATTAAAGCGCCTAAAGGCATAAAAGCCGTAATTATAGATGTATATTATTTATATTAATCTTCTGTCCATTCATTGAGTTCTTAAATAACCCTCTAGGCACTATTATAAACACCTAAATTATACCCGAAATAAAAAGAACCTAAACACGCATTTAGAGTCATACAATAAATTCGCCATTCTTATTTTAGATGATGATGATGCTTTTCGTTTTTGTGGGAATTACTTGCCATATTAGGTTTATCGTAAAGGTGATCTTCGTGTATTGGAAGAGATGCCTTATTACCAGATTAACTAACTGGTCTTACTTAAGTATTATTATCTTATGAACTTTATACTTATTATGCCATTATTTTTTTTTATTTATTTTTTTATATATATTTTTTTGGATTTTCAATTTTTTTTTTTTTTTTAGATATATATATATATTTTATAATTTTTTTGCTTTTTGTTTATAATATTAATTCAAATATTTTTCATTTTTTGTATAAAAATATATCCTTTACTCAATATTATAATTCGTCATTTAATCTAATATTATTTTTTAAATAATACATATATAATATTTTAATTTTAATTCTTATTTATATATCATTTTTAAATAAAAATATAATTTTTATTATATATATAAATAATTGTTTTTTATATCAAAAAATAATATTTTTTTCATATAATGTTTTATTTTGAAGTTTGTAAATATTTTTAATTAAACTCACATAATATTGTAATTTAATATTAATTTATACTTTTTTAAATATATTTTATTAAATGAAGTAATAAATATTATAAAATAATCTATGAGTCAATAACTTTAGTATCAGTGTGAAAATATATAATACTTTTTAAAATTAAAATTATTTAGTATAAAATACATTTTTTTTTTTTTAAAAAAAAATTGAAGCATTAAATTTTATTTATTATAAAAAATTTATATTAATATAAAATATTAATAATTTATAAAAAATAAAGTCACCAATAAATAAAAACATAAAATAATAAAAAATTAATTAATGCTAAATTCTTAAATAATTTTTAAATTTTTTTATATATTTTTTTAATTTAATAAATATTATTATATTATATTAATTTTTTTAATTTTTATTATTTAAAAAATTATATTTTTACCATATTTAATAATTTTGAAAAGATAGAAATAATCCAAATAATTATATTTGTTTTAATATATAATGATTTTTTAATTTTATTGATTTATAAAAATTGTATAGTGTTTCGGAGATAATATATATTTCTATATATGAAAAATAAAAAAAATATGCCTATAATAATATTAATAATAATTATTTTATTTACATATATTTTATAAAAATATATAAAAAAAAAATAAAATTAAAAATTAAAAATCATCAAATAAAATAAAAATTCGAAAACGAAAAAACTAAAAAAAAAAAAAAAAGAGAAAATTCAATTAAAAATGCAAAAAAGTGAAAAGATAAAATTTCATATTAAATAAAAAATACTAAAAAGAAGTAATTGAAATAAAATTAAAAATAATAATGAAATAAAATATATATAATATAAAAAAGATAAAATTAAATTTCTAAATATAAATAATAATAATTTTATAAATAATAAAAAGAATTATTAATAATAAAGATATTTATTTATAAAAAGATAGTAAAATTTAATTCTAAACAATAAAAAGTATAAAAAAAAATTATTTATAATTATAAATATATATATTTTATATATATATATATTTATATTTATATTTATATCTATACATATTAATATATATATACATAGATTAAATTATTAAAAATCAATACATATTTAATATAATTAATATTACACCTGATATTTTTTATTATAAATTATTATATTTTTTGTTTATATTTATATATATTATTTTATTTCATTCTTTCGATATATTTTTTATTATCAAATTAAAAAAAAATTTTATCTAAAATTATTAAATATTTATATTTTTTCATTTTTTTTTATTTAATCATTTTTATTAATTATATAATTATATTAAAATTAACATGTTTATATTATTAATTGGTATTTTAAAGTAAAATTTCAAATTTTTTAAATTTATTAGTTAAATTTAAAAAAAGGCAAAATAATATATATAATACTCTCATACTAACATATATTAAGGATTTTGTATAAGATCATTTATGGCTTTAAAATTTTTATTTTTAATATTTTATAAATAATATAATTTATTTATAAAAAATTACATATATAATATTTTCTATATTTAATAAGTTTTAGTGTGTAATTTGAAAAATGAGATGTTATATATTAAGATTAGATTTATATTAATTTTAAATATTATAATAGTATAATATTTTTAAAATAATATTCTAGAAAAAATTAATCAAAAAAATAAACACAACATTTAAATAAATTAATAAAATAATATAATAGAAAAAATATATATAAAATGTAATTTGTAATAAAAAAATATTTTTTTAATTCAAATATAAATTTTAGTTAAATATAATAAAAACATATTTATTTTTATAAATTAAAAAAATAAAATATAAGAAATATAAAATTATTATTAAAATTAATTAATGTAATAATAAAGTTACATAATAATTAAAAAAAAAATGTTTAAAAAAAACATTTATAATGATAAAAATAAAAAATAAAAATAAATATGAATGAAAAATTTGAATATAATTAATTTAAATAGTAAAAAAAATATGAAAATTAAATTAAAAAGATATATATTTATTCAAAATATAATGCAAAAAAAATTAAAAGAATATAGTTATTATATATGTAAATATATATTTAAAAATATATTAACAATTATAAAAAATTATATTTAAATAAAAAAATTATAAATAAATAAATATTTATATATATTTATATAATATATTTATATATAATAAATTTAATGTAAACTATTTTTAATTAAGTTTTTTTAATTAAATTAAAAAAATTATATACTTTATTTTTAATATAAAAATATTTTATTTAATATTTAAGATATGATTTATAAAAAAAAAAATGGTAATTTTAAAAAAGATATTATAAAATATGATTGAATAACCTATTAAAATAAATTTTAGAGTAATTTTTATTTTAATAATTTTAATATTAATATAAATTTTTATAATCATAAAAACAATTATATTTATATAAATTATTGATTTATATTAATAATAAAATTTATAACAAATTTATATAAAATAATATAAGATAAAAAATATATCAAATTATATTTTAAAAATATAAATTATTTTAATATATATTTAAATATATATATACATATATACATATATATATTTATATACATATTTTTATATTCATAAATTTATTTTTACTTTTAATTTTTATTATTCATTATGTCAAAACTTCAAATATACTTTATAACAAATATAAAATTTATAATATATGAATTTTAAAATTTTAAATATATTTTTATATTTAATATTTTTTTAACTAACTTATTTATATAATTATATATTTTTTTTTTATATTTCATACAAATAAATAAAATGTATATATAAATATATATATATATATATATATATATTTTTTTTATATATCTATAATTATTTATTCTTTTTAATCCTCTTTTTTTTTAAATCATTAAATTTTCTTAAATAATTATATTTATAGCTTATTTAATTTTTTTATAATAACCTTTATATCTAGAAACAAATAACCAAATTAGTTAAATTACAAAAATAAAAATATAATTATATTATATAAATTATAATAATAATTTATATAATATAATCATAAATAATTGTTTTAAAACAGAAAACAAATATTTTTTAAAATAAAATTTTACCAGATGATTCTCTTTATAAAAATTTTGTATTTTGTTTGTTTTTTTTTCAATAAATTTATGTATATTTTTTAATATTATATTAATAATATTTTATTTATAAATTAAATTTAATGTAAAATATAATAATTTATTATACAAAATAGATAATTTTAAGTATATATTTGAATATACTTAAAATTAATAATAATAAATATATATATATATATATATATATTATATAAATAATATATTCCTTTTTCTATATTTTACTTTCTTTTCTTCTATTTTTACCTTCTAGTAATTATTAAAATAAAATTCTGCATTTCCTTTATTTATTTGATTAGAATTTAAATTATATAAAAGAGCCAAAACGAATACTTTATAAACCAAAAAATAGCCGAAACTGCTAAAACAACTATTCTTATAAAAGTTTAATTACCTTAATCATCACTAGTGTTATCTGAAGCCCATTATTTGAAAAAAATAATCATCCATGTAATATCTATGATAGCCGAAACTAAAACAATCCCAAGAAATTATTAAACAATATTATTATTTTAACTATCCTATGTAAGCTTCTTTTAATATAAACTTGTTAAGAAAAAAATTCCAATAGTAACATCTAAAAAAGCACTTTTTTTAACGCATAAAAATATTCCCAAAATCACATAAAAAATAAAATTTGTCCTATTTTTACACTTATACTATTAAAATCGCACTCTTAATTTTATACTAAAGTATTAATTTAAGTCTAAGGACGATTTTATGTATTTTTTGCCATATAATCAACAGGATGTGGTGCTTAAATATTATGATTGTAACCATTTTTTTAAATAACAGGCATATTTTATAAATAATTACCCTATTAAATAACTGGTTATTGCTAAAGATCTTATTAATAGGAATTATTATGAGATTATTATATAAAATTTTATTAATAATTCTAAAAAGGTAGTTAAAGTCCCCTCAATTATTCTTCAAATGATTATTTTTCTTATAATAAGATAGATAAATTATCTTTAACTCTTTCTAAATCAATTAAAGCTTCTTAAGAGTTAAATAATTCTATTTTTCCAGTTAATTCTATAGTAAAATTTTCGGTTATTTATTAATCTGATTATAAAAAAACATTTCTGGTTTAAATTGAGTCAATATCAAATAAATAAAATGGTATTTAAACTATACCAATTAATTAAAAATTTTCTTCGATTTCAATTAATATTATTTCATCTAATTTTATATTGAACTATAAATAAATGTAAAAATAAATATATATAAATATAAATAAAAATATATATATATATATATTTTATATATATATATATATATATATATATATTATTATTATTTAT